CACCCTCACTCTGGATCAGAAGCTGCCAGGGGAGCTCTGATCCAGAACATGTAGCCTTGTGAAGTGGGAACAGAGAGAGCAGGTGAGCCAGCCACCGGCTCATAAAGCTTCAAACCAGGCGCGGGACCCAATCGGATCACTACCCAGAGCTGGTCACATGACCACACCAGCCCCCAGGGGAGCAGCCGCTTCAGGGCGGGCAGACTTTTTCAGTGATCAAATAGTAACTAGTTTCGGTTTTGCAGAGCTGAGAGTCTCAGTCACCCCTACTCACCTTTGCCTTCGAAGTGCAAAAGTGACTGCAGACCATAGTCTGATAGAAAATGTAAAACCACTGTTAGATCGCGAGCCATGCAGAAACAGGCAGCCCATCGGCTCAGCCCGCGAGCCACCACTTGCCAGCTCTTGGTCCGTGTCATCCTGGGAAGGAACCCAAACTATGGGTGAACAGTTTACCACACTGAGGGAGAGAGGAACAGGGAGGAAAAGAGAAGCGGGGGTGAGGGCAGGGGAGGGCGAGAAGCAGGGCTGCCTGGTGCTTCACACCAGCAGTGGTAGAGCTTGCTTCTGTTCCTTACCTCTGGGTTTCGCAAGTGATGGCTTCCTCTCGGCAGCTCCTGCCTGGCTTGCCTGCTTCCCCACCATGGGTGTGCCCTGGTGGGTTTGGAGTGTTTGTTTCTGTCATTATTCCTCCATGGCTAGAGAGCTGATCTTCTCGTGTCTGGAGAAACCAGGAGACGGTTGTAAAGTGAGAGCCTCTGTTCCAGCTCGCCCCGTTCTTTGCACAGTCTGGGCTGCTGGTCCCCAAATCTCCCAGGTCTCCTGCGGACTAGGAGGGGGCTGAAAGCACTTTCCGGCAGGCCCTGCTCTGCGGCTGCCCTGTTGTGCTAACAGCACTCAACAAAGTCGCGAAGCCAGGGCATTTGGGCATTTGGGAGCCGAGAGAGGAATGCCAGGGATGCTGCGCTAGAGGGGAATCTCGGGGCTGCATGGTGCGGTCCCACGGCTGCACCCGGAGACTGCCTGAGGCTGTGTCAGCTGTGCAGAGGGGGAGAAGCGACAAATGCCTTTCAGAGGTGGGACGGGGGCGAGGGAGGCAGAGGCCATGGCCCCGATGACCTGGGCTTCTCTCCCAACAGGACACCACGACGTCCGTGCGCATCGGCCTGATGATGGAAGAGATGATCTTCAACCTCGCGGACACTCACCTGTTCTTCAATGACCTGGAGGTTGGGCCTGCTTGTTCCATTTCGTGTTCTCTGTATTTAATCATCTGGCAAAGCATCTAGTTTGGGGGAGGAGAGACAGCCTTTGCGTCTCTCTCTCTCTCTTTTGGAGGCTAGAAACCCCCAAGAAGGCCCAGAGCTGTGGCCAGCAAAGACGTTTATTGGAAACACACTTGATCCGATTGTCTCCCCAGCTTCCCTGGGCAGCTTCTCTCTGCTCTAGTGGTGATGTCCACTGGCAGGTTCAGTAATCCAATAAAGGCTGTGTAGTTTTCTTCCTCTTGAAATTTGCTATTTAATAAGTTTATTAAGGCAAATTAGTACAGATCCTCCTGGGTCAGTAATAATTAGCAGTGGGCCAGGATGGAAGCTTTTAAAAACAATTTACATTCCCCTGAAAACATGTTTTACAAGGGGGGGTGGAGCAGAGGGAGTTCGCTTATTTAAAGTATCTGCTTCTGTGCCTCTATGCAAGTGACAAGGGAGATAGGGAGAAAAGGAGAGAACAGCTTCAGAAAATCAACTTAATGCATTTGCTCATGACCAGCCTGCTTCAGAAAGATTTGGGAAGAATTTCACATGGAAACCATATTTTAAAGCAAAGGCAGGATAAGGGGCTGGACAAAAAATATCTGCGTGGGCTTCTTAATCCAGTTCAAAGTTAATCTTTGAGCTTCCTGGTAGCCAAGGCAAGGTGGGAAATTCAATGTGTTACTTCCCAAACGGAGACAGCTTTCTCTAGGGTGAAAAGGGCTAGTTCATAAGAGGATGAATGCAGGGGTCTTCTGGCTTTGTAAGAGATAGTGCTGCTATTAGTTTAACAGATTGAAAAATCAAGCAACCCAAAATAAAACTGTATATGACAGAGAAACTCTTATTTATCCTAGAAGGAATAATTTCCACTGGAAGATCCCCAGGGACTAAAATGTGAAGTGGAAATATGACGGCTACGAATTCCAAATCTGTCCTGACTAGCACAGAACAGTACCCAAAGGGTACAGGTGGTGTTTGTTTTCTTGTGTTTTTTTTTTATTATTATTATTTTTATTTTTTCTGGTCTGCAGTCCCGGAAGGGGGAAATCTGTGTTGTAAGGTTGATCTTGTGCCTTGTCTAGGAGAATCGTTTGAGCCTCAGTGCTCCTGTCTATAAAATGGAATTGGTGTTCTTTGCCCAACATCTGGCTCAACGAGAGACTTGAGATGGAAACTCGTTAATACAAGAGAGCTTGTCTCAGCGGATAATACCAGGACTGTCTCTCTAGCCAAAGGCATGATGCAGGGTCCCTTTGCAGTGGCCTCGCCTGCTTGGGAGAAAGAAAGAGAAAGGGACTAGGGAGAGGAAGAGAGGACTTACAAGTTGTTTTTTTAAGGCAATTGAATTCAGCAGTTATTTATATGGCCTAATGTAGTAAAGACTCAGCTGATTGCAAATAGCAACATTCAATTCACTTTAGCAAAACATGGCAATTCTTGGCGCCTGTAATGAAAAGTCCAGGGGAGATTGAGTTTCTCCCTGTCTGGGCCTAACAACATCACTTCCACGAAAGCAGGCGCCACCTCAGTCTAATCCACCCTGAATCTCCAGGGCGCAGGCAATAAACAATCAAAGAAATCCACAAATGAGAGTTTGTGATAGTAAAAAGGATGTGAAGAAAATAGATCAGCTGTGATAGCAAGTGATGGGGGAGAAGAGAGAAGGGAGGGGAGAAGCAAGGGTTGGGAGGTCTTGGGTTGAGCCGAGGGCTGAACGATTATAAGAGCCGGCCAGGTGGGAACCTGGAGCAGTGGGCTCGGCAGGTGCAAAGGCCCTGTGGTGAGAACCCGTGTAAAGTAATTAGGGTAAGAGAGAAGCCACAGTGACCCCAGTGGATGAGGAAAAGCACAGGGACAGCTGGGACTGGTGCGTCTGGGGAGGGGGCAGGGGCCAGACACACGCTTGGACGTCAGAGTTCACCCAGGTGCGCGGCACAGACCAGGGCACAGGAGCATTAACCGGGAAAAGCCACGTGATCTGGTTCAGGTTTTTAAAAGACCACTCGGGCGGACACATGGAGATTGGGTGATCCAGAGGGGTCAGGGGAGAAGGGAGCCCAGCAAAGACATAACAGCCTCTCCCAATAAAGAAAGAAAAGTGGTTGGAGCCAGGGGTTTAGGAGATGAGGCTCCCGGTGGAAGAAAAGGCCAGAGGACTTGCTGATGGGTGAGATGTGGGTGATGAGAGAGAAAAAGGGGAGTCGAGGACACCCAAATGTGGCCTCACCAGGTTGATGGCAAAACGGGAGGTCGCAGGGATGCGGTGGGGAGGTCCCTCCTTCCCCCAAGGGCCCCCGAACTCTGCCATGTCTGCCATTCCAGGGAAAAGGCCAGATTGACCGGCCAGCTGAGGTGCAGGGGGTCGGTGTAGTCAGAGTGCCGACACACAGTAGGTGCTTTGTCTGGCCCCGTCAACACTGAGGCTGAGCACCAGCATTCTGTGCTCCGATGTGTTCTGAACCCCTATTTTCAGGGCTTGCCCCTCCACCCCCCAGCCTGAAGCCAAAGTAGCACCTCTTGGAGAAGGATCGTAATGACCAGCTGGAGCTACTCAGGGAAGCCAGTTTGTTTTTAGTCTCTAAATTTTTTCCCAGAATGTCCCCAATGCCAGAAGCCCCTCAGGGCACCTCAGCAGAATTGAAACCATGCTACATGGCAGAGAAATTCAGACTCAAGCAAGTGAAAACATATTGCCTGCTGGTGTAGGAAGCCCCTGAAGAGCAGCCTCCGTGCTCCCCGGGAAGGCTGTTGGCACAGGAGAGGCACAGGCTTGCAGGAGTCCAGGCTGAGGCCAGCTCAGCCGGACGGTCCACCACAGGGAACAAAGTCAGGGCCACTTCTGTCCATGCCTGGAGTGCCCTAGCGAGGGGCTTGTTCCAGAGCACCGGTGGTTGGTGAAGAATCGCAGGCTGCCAGGCCCCACTCAGGGCCCCGGACTCAGTGGCAAACCAAAGCCAGCTAGATCCCACCCTCCGGGCATTGCCCCTCCAGCTGGGGAAGCAGCTCAGAAACAACTGATAGATAAGGTAAAGCCTCACACAGGGTGGGGAGGGGCTGGTAGCAGGGGCAACAGGTGAGGCTGCACTGACAAGGCCTTGAGGCATGACCCAGATGGCCAGGAGCTGGGAGGGGGCCAGAGTAGCTGAGCAGGAGGATGTGGCGGGCAGTGGCCCAGAGAGGACAGATCACCTGGACCCCCTGGGGCCTTCCACCTGGTTGAGTCTTAGGCAGCATCCCGGAGGGCTTTGAGCAGGGGAGCAGCGTGGCTGACATGGGTCAGAGGCTCCCTCTGCTGCCGAGTGAAGAATCCAGGAGGCGTAGCTGTGACGGACTGTCAGGATTCAGGGCTCGTGTCCTGAGTTACAGCAGGCAGTGCCTTCTGGTCAGCCTTTTTTTTTTTTTTTTTAAGATTTATGTTATTTATTTATGCATACAAGAACTGAGGAGTAGGCCAGAGGTGCATGAGGGTGGTAAGAAAATTCACCAGAGACAGAGTGGGGAGCAGATCTACTGAAGTACAGTGCTGAGGGGAGCAGCGGGTGAGACAGGAGCGGTCTGCTGTGCCATGTGGGCCACCTCCGTGACTAGGGATGGAGTTCCAGCTGCAGTGGCTGGTGACGGCTTGATAACCCTGTAACATTAACCCCTGCACCGTCAGGGAGGCCCTGATCGGCCTTTTGAGTCCTGGCTCCCCCATCTGCTGTGTGACCTGAACACAGTAGCTTCCTCTCGTGCCTCAAATTCATCTGCTAAGTACATGGAAGAAAAGCCTGGATCTTCCAAGCTCTAGTGCTGATGCGCGGTGAGGAGAGCAGGTGTGGAGCCCACCACACCACACCTGCCCTCCTCCAGGGGCACCTGTACGCTCAGGCCAGCCAGGCAAACAATGCACGAGGTTTCTGATTTCTCTGCCCGGCCGCCCGCACGTAGTATTGTCCGCTGTGATTATGGGCATCCTGGCAGGTGTGAAATGGCATCCTCTTTGAAGTTTTGACTGTGTTTCTTGTATTGTTATGACATTAGGAGGCTAGAGTAACATTTCTAAATAGGCTTTATAATTAAAATATGCCTTGTGGAATTTTAAGATCAGAGGCGAAAAGTGGAAGCCCTTTGTGAGTGCTCGGCTCCTCCTGGGCCTTGAAAGCAGCAGGGCTGACGTGGGCAGGGCTCCGAGTGCGTGAGAGAGGCCAAGCTCGTGCCACTTGTAACTAGACCTGCAAGATCCAGTTAGGACAGTCATGTGTCCTTTGCCCCTAGAGACTCAGGGCAGTCAAGTCTTCAAGTCTGAGAAATACTCAGAGAAGCAGGAGTCACCAGCCACAAGTCTAGGTGTTTGTCCTGGGAACCCTGGTCCTGGTCTCTGCCTGGGGCCACTCAGCCTCTGAGCCAGAGTCCTCCTTGCTGAGGTTGAAGGAGGAAGCCTTGTCAGCCCAATGGACCAGCTTTACGGGAAGCACAGAGCAGTCCTACTAAGCACCTGGCACAGAGTTAGTGTTCTGTAGATACTTCGTGAACAACCTTGGTGACACTAAAACCCAAGAGAAAGCTGCAAATTTCCTGCCCAGTGGGCTGCTGACAGAAGTGAGGTAATGGTGCAGAGTGAAGACAGTCTGGATTCAGAGACCAGTTCTGCACTTACAAGCTGTGTGATCTTAAGTCAGCTACTTAACATCTCTGAGCCTCAGTTTCACCTGCAAAACTGGAATTAAAATAATACCTATGTCTTAAGGTTACTATGAGAATTTAATGAGTTAATGAACATAAAGAAACTTGAGTATAATAAGCACTACATAGCTGATCATTGCATTGTTATTAATAGTTTTCACTATCATTATTAGCACCTAAAATAATTATCATTGGGGCCATAAACCGCAAAATGCTTTATGTGCACAATTCCAAGTTCACAGTAGCTGTAACTAGTAAGCCAGGATCCAAGTCCAGAGTCTAGAGTTCTCTAGACTCTAGGGTGA